AATGTAGTGGCAGGAAAGGATTATGTCAAAGGAACCCATGCTCTCAAGATCACTCTGCAAGTATGGTGGCAACAATTTCTACAAGTCTTAGCCTATATTGTATTACTTCATAGTAATTTCTGCTAGTATTTGTTGACCGTTGAAAACTGCATACAGATTATGATTGTGATGAGCTTGTAAAATCCTTATTTGTGGCCAAGTTCCATGATCAGAGTGGTCCTGGTGGCAGGACATGAACATGGTTTTCAATCCTTCTGCTTTTCAGAAGAACTCCGATAAAAAGGGATTTGTATCAGCATGCATTCAGAAGCCATATTTCCATAGACGGGAATTAGATACCTTGCTCGAAAATGCACCATCAGTCCTAGGATGGCAACTGGGTTGCTAAAGGCTCAGATAGATGGTTCAATCAGGCTGGTCCTGACCATAACCAAGAATGGCTGAATACCATTACCTTGCTCGAAAATGCACCATCAGTCCTAGGATGGCAACTGGGTTGCTAAAGGCTCAGATAGATGGTTCAATCAGGCTGGTCCTGACCATAACCAAGAATGGCTGAATGCCACGGGAAGGAGGGGAAGAGAAGTGGTAGGAATCACGTAAAACATTCAGCATTCAGCACTCTTTCATTCATTTTACACGGCCACAGTGTAGCTCATACAAGGGCAGTGTTTGCACTTGGACTAGATGACTGAATGACCAGCAATGAGTTAACTGCTACAAGAAAACAGCAAGGTCATCGTGATGAATCTAAAAGTCCTCCAAATTTGAGTCCAGTGGCATCTTTAAGACCAACAAGTTTTGATTCTGGGCATACCACAGGAAAAGCTTACACTCAGAATTAAACTTTGTTGGTCTTAAAGGTGCCACTGGACTCAAACTTTGTTCTATTGCTTCAGACCAACACAGCTACCCACCTGAATCTAAAGTCCCCTAGACATTGGAAAGGTTCTGTTTCCTAGAAGGGTACTTGAAGGACCACGTCCTCCTGTATTGTGCAACCTAGCACTGAGATCATTGTTGCAGGTTCTCCTCTGCATCACTTCTCCAGGTGAAGTCAGGAGGGTTGTCGCAAGACAGAGAGCTCATTGCTTTAAAGCCCACATTGTTGTCTTTACTCAGCTGTGAGAAGCTCCTGTCTGTCATCTTCTTGATGCTTCCAGACGCAGCACCCTTTAGATCAAAACCTGGCTTCCGCCTGGGCCATTTTTACCTTCTACGCTTCCAGCCTGCACACAGCAGCATCCGTGACAAAACCAAAAACTGGTCTATTTCTAGCTCCCTTGATGTCCCCGTGCCTCTCACTCATTAGTTGGCTAGCAGATCTAATGTTCCTAGCCCACAAATGGATTACTTATCCCTATACTACATTGTTCTGATTTCTAGACCATTTTATATTTCCAGTTCTGCTACTTTCATTCCATCTTACTCTTCTTAGTATTTTCTTCTGCTCTATCATTCTCTTTTAGACCCTCATTCTTAAATAAGCGATTGTTCTATGAATGCTTCACAGTGCTGTCTTAAGCAGAGGGACACCATTCTTAGCCTTAGGAGTCATTGCCCATTTTTCTTTGTGTTTGCATCTGCATGTGCTGTGCTGGCTCTTTGCTGCTGACAGTAGTACCCTTATGACCCTGAGGTGGTTTTTTGAAACCGTTAGAAAAATTCATGGTGAATAAATGGCTATTAGCTACCTTACTTTCTTCAACCCTCCAGTCCAGGTATAGGGGAGAGCTACCACCTTCGTGCCTCGATCATAAGCTTAGCATTAAGATGGCTTGACCTAGCAAAGCTTTTATTATTAGAGGAAGGCATCTGGCTGCAGGTGAAAGTATGATGTTAAGGGTGGCGGCAAGCAGGACACGTCTTTCTGGCAGAGGAGGACAAATTGCTTCCCTCTCCATCCACTATGTGTTTTGTTTTGTTTTTTAAAAAAAGACTAGGAGAGTGTTTCCAGACAAAGCACCATTTAAACTTTGTTTAATTTACTTCCACTTAGTTTTCACCACCTACCTAAAAACCAGGAAACTAGGGGATTTCTTTTTGTAGGATAGAAAACGGGAGTCTTCCTCTAGGAACAAAGCTTTACCCCTCACCTCTGCAGAAGCAGGAATTCTCCCATCCTCCCTAAAGAGGTAACAGAAACTTAGCTGAAATAATTCTGTGCTCATCTGGCTAGGAGGAGGCAAAGGAACGAACTTTCAGTTATATAGAACACAAAATCTCTTCCTGTCTGCTGCCACTTTCGCAACCACTGAACATAAAATGGTGCAAAGACACATTTTTACAGTGTGCTATAGGGGTTGGGTCTGGCTAGGGATGCCAGCCTCCAGGTGGGACCTGTGGATCCTGCGGAGAACTACAGGTCATCTCCAGACGACAGAGATCAGTTTCCCCACAGAAAATGGATGCTTTGGAGGTGGACTCTATGGCACTCTACCTCACTGAGGTCCCCGTCCTCCCCAGGCTCCACCCTGTAATCTCCAGGAGTTTCCAAACCTGGAGCTAGAAACCCAACCCCACCACTGGTGGCCAGGGGAGACCTGGCAATCCTGGATCTGGGAGATCCAGGGTCAGAGCCCCACTCTGCCATGGAAGCTTGCTGGGTGACCTTGGTCCAGTCACACACATTCTCAGCCAGACCGACCTCACAGATGTTGCGAGGATAAAGTGGAGGTGAAGAGAATCAAGTAAGCTGTCTTGGGTCTCCACTGGGAAGAAAGGGGGAGTATGAATGCAGTAAATAAATAAACGAAGTCTGAATTTCAGAGGCCATGCACAAGAGATACCAAGCACAGGTGGCTGGCAAAGAATAAATACATTCCACTGTGGGGTATAAATACTCCAGGGGAGGAGCATTCCCTGCAGTCCATTGAGGAAATCTGGTAAAGTCATACGATCAGCATTGCTTGGTGGTTGCAATTATAGCTTATGCTGACTTGTTCAAATGAAGAGACTGCAGCAGTAGATAAGGACTTTGGATGACTTCACTGATGGTAGTTTTCTTAGATTAGGTATAAACCACCAAAAAGCGTCAAGAAAACAGTAAATCTTTGACACTCCTCCCCTGTCCCTCTGAGTACAGCAATTCGAATGAGGCCCAAAACGCAAGGAGTCAAAAGTATTTGAATAAAACCAATAATTTGAGGCAAGCACATTACAGGCCTTGTTGGAAAGGTAGCACTGAACAGAAGATAAAACTGGGCAGTGTGGGTTTTTTTGCAATGGTTTTTAGATCAGTTAAGACTATCGTGATAGGCAATCATCAAGTGTGAAAGTGATTCCTAATTTGGAAAGGGAGCCACTTGCAAGTAAAGCCATGTTGTTCTGATTTTGTATTTTCTTTTCTTTTTTTGGAAAAGCAATGGTGTCTTACGGGCTCTATTCTCTTTCCTGTTTGTTAGGGCTGCCTAACCACGGACAAACCCGACAAATGGTAAGAGAATGTTAATTTTAAAAGAATGCAGTGATCACCCCCCCATCCCAAGCTCTTAATGCTCAGCAGCTCTGAGACAACAGCTACTTCGACCTGTGCGTCTCTCAGCTACTACTGCAATTATTACTTGGCTCTGTATGTTTTTTGAGAAACATGAAAATAACGAGACGTGATGAAATAAATGCATTCTTTCCAGAGAGGGTCAGTGCCTCTTCACGCAGCTTTTTTTTACTGGAAGAGGATGGTAGCAAAGTATTGAAATGTACTTTAGGCGGAAATGTATTTTACTGAAGTAGGATGGGGAGTGTGTGTGTTTGTGTGTGTATGTGAACTTGGCATGCAGCTTTTAAAGAAATTGCTGTTCACGTATAATAGCATTTACTTTTATTTCTGAAAACTTGTCTCTCGGCTTCCTCCTTTTACTGAGAGATTTGATCAGAGGACTGAAACAAGTAGCCAGTCTCACAGATCTGATGAGAAACATGAGTATAGAGGAAATACTACTCCCGTACAGAACAATTTAATGGCTCTCTGGGCCGTCTGCATAACGTGGATATGCAGAAACTTTGCTTAAAACGGAGTGTCACTCTTAGTCTTCACATGAAGCAATTTCTTCCTGGCATCTCTTTAAGGGGACGGTGGGTAAACTAGCCATACATGTAAAGGCGCCAGTAGAATTTGCTTAGAATGGTGAGTGCCAGGTACCGGAGAAGAGTTAGCAGAAGCACTCTTAAATATTTTTGGATAAAGTGTTCCATTGTGTAATAACCTGGTTACTTTGAATCACAGCAGTAAGTCAGTCCCTGCTTGGGAACTGGTATTAAGTGGCTACGTGACTTGTTTGATGAGTCTCTTGAGAATGGCTGCTTGTTCATGTCTGCTATTATATATATTTGTGGTTTTATAAGGAAATTAGCATGCAAGAGCCTTACTTAACAGCCTGAGAGCTGAATTCTTTGAAGGAAGGGAAAACATCCAGGTTTCAAAATGTGCCTTCTGTCAAGACTGAAGTCCTCATAAGGAGTCACGGCAGGTCTCAGACACGTGGCCCTGCCGCATCGGTGGGTTCTTTTGTTCTCGTGGTTGCCTGTCAGCACGCAAAGTGACGATTACATGAAAGCTAGAATTTGTATTCGTGATAAAATGTGCCCCATTGGGCTGAGAACTGAGAGGATAAATAGCTTTTCATATCTGTTTTAAAAAGGGAGACAGGCAGACCTGCCTTAAGCCGATACTAAAAAAAATACCTTAATACATTTCAATAAGTATCTTTCTTGGAGCTGGCTGTGCTTATGTGTGCATCAGAAACAAATTTGTCCCAGTTGAAGGACACGTATAATGAAATGTGAGGAGAAGGACCGGTGATCCAGCTCCTTCAGTGTCTTGTTTCCAATCATCAGATGCCACAGGGAGACCCACGAACAGGATCCATAGAAAGCTGCCCTTGCCTGCTGATTGCTTCCCAACTTAAGAACATAAGAGAAGCCAATGTTGGATCAGGCCAATGGCCCATCTAGTCCAACACTCTGTCACACAGGTGCCATCAGCAGCCCTCCCACTGTTCCCCCCCCCCCGAGCACCAAGAATACAGAGAATCACCTGCCCCAGCCTGTGAGTTCCTATCTATACCTTGTGGCTAATAGCCACTGATGGACCTCTGCTCCGTATGTTTATCCAGTTTCCTCTTGAAGCCGTCCATGCTTCTGATCATCAGCATTATGTCCCCTAAATGTAGGGCCCTATTCAACTGTCATGGCTACTAGCCAGTGATAAACTATGCTGCATAAATCTGCCTAACCCATTTTAAATCCATCTGAACCAAAGGCCATCAACACGTATCAGTTGATCAACTGCCCTTTGGGTGAAGTAGTGCTTCCTATTGTCTGTCTTGGATCCATTGCCAATCTGTTTCATAGGGTGAATCTGAATGTTAGTGTTTTGGAGTGCTACACCATACATAATTTTGTATATCTCCATTATGTTGTTCTACTCAGCCACCTTTCCCCAAAACTTAAAAGAGTTTCCACAAGGCAGGCATTCCAACCCCAGTATCATTTTGGTTGCCCTTACATGCAAATCTCCAGGTCTTCAATATCCTTTTAAAGATTCTGTGACAAGAACTGTACAAATATGGCTGTAACAAGGACTTAGTGAATGGACATTACTATACTGGTTTTGTTTTCAGTCTCTTTCCTAATAATCCTCAGTATGCACTTTGCCTTTTGAAATCAATATTGCATGATGAGTTGACATTTTGAGCAAGCTATCCACTACAACCCTAAGGTCTTTTACTTAGTCTGTTCTGGTCAGCTCAAACTCCATGAGCATATATGTGAAATTAGGATTTATTGCCCCATGTCTATCACTTTGCAACTTGATTGAATTTCATTGTGCATTTTGTGCCCAGTTTGGAATGGTCCTTTTAGAACTCTCCTAAATCTGCTTGTATTAACAGTCTTTATCTGAATAGTCTTTATCTGCAAACTTTATTATCTCACTATTAACCTCCAGTTACTGGTCATTTATGGATGATTAAAATAGCACTGGGCCCAGCACTGTCCCTGGAGAAATCAGGTCCCAATAACAGTCATTCAGAAGAAGTAACGTTTATTGAGTCATTGATAGGATCCAGACTCATAATGTTCTTTGTTGGAACTGAGGTCAAGCGCACGAAGCCAGTAATTATAGCATAATCAAACAAGACATTAATGGTTCTCGGCCAATTGCATCTAAGCTAAAAGCCCGCCGAATTAATGCCGTAAGATTCCCAGGGGAAAGAGAATACTAAAGACAGTGTAGGTCTCAAGGTTACATGGCTACACCAGACACCAGACCGATAGTGGCTAGAAACGAAAGTATACATTCCAGCATGCACCCCCTCACCTCTCCATGGCAACCAAGCTCCAGACAGGCGCTTTGGTTGACAAGCACAACACAAACATACAATACGGCACAAACACTGGTCACCTCCCGCCACTGCAAAAACTAGCAATTTATTCAGCCACCTTAGATGCTTCCTCTTTTATAGCAGTTAACAATCTATGAAAGGATGTGTTCTCTTATCCCAAAAGCCTTTAGAGATGCACCTTGTCAAACGCTTCCTGGAAATCCAAGTATACATTGTCTTCCAGATCACCCCTGTCTACTGGTTTCTTGACACTCTCAAAGAACTCTAAGAGGCTGGTGAGGTAGGTAAAATTTCCATTGCAGACATCATGTTAACTCCTCTTTGGCAAGGCTCATTCTTGGCATGTCTTAAATAATATTTTCTACCAGTTTACCCAGGACAGAGGTTAAGCCAACCTATGTATAGTTTCCCAAGTGCCCCCTGGATTCCTTGGTCAATGTTAGTGTGATGTTGGCTGTTTTCCAGTTCTGGCACAGAGGCTGATGTTAATGAAAAAATATCTATTCTTATGCTTTCGGCTTTCGGCTTGTCAGAAGATCAGCAGTTTCATTGTTGAATTCTTAAAGATTTCTTGGCTGTATCCTGTCCAGATGCAGTGATTTCTTTATTTTTAGTTTAATTAGTCCTAGAACTTGTTTGGGCAGCTCTAACTCAATCCTTCAAGCACCTGCTTTGAGAAGATTGGTTCAAGAACAGGTATCTGCCAAACAGGAAGAGAGAAGCAAAGAATTTGTTCAGTTTCTTCTCCCTGTCCCCCTTCAGTAATAGTCTCACATCTTTGCCATCCAGTGGTTCAAAGAGCTTGCTTTGCTGTCTTTCTCCTCCTGATGTGTTTGAAGACATTCTTGTCTGTTCTAATGCTTCTAGCTATGTGAAATCCCTTCTTAACGCTCGTCTTACCAATGTCTTCTGTCCCTTTTGCCAGAGTTTATGCTCCTTGTGCTCCAAATTTTCCCTATTTGGGAATGACATCCAGCAGACCCAATAAACAATAAACCTGGTTCAGGGCAAACAGAGGGTGGGCAGTCTATTCTCTCAGTGACCGATCTTCAGACAGGAGGCCTTTCACATCCTCCTCCTTGAAGACATCTTCTGCAAAATCACAGATGATATTACAACCTTCCAAATCCTTGGTATTCTATAAGAGGCGCCTTCAACTTCAATCTGATTTGCATGAAGCTCTTCCTAGCCATCAGAAAACACTGGGAAGATACCACATAAGACCTCTGGGAATTTACTGTAATGATTAGGCTGCACCACTGAGTTTGCAGTGCATCCAACCATTAGCATCTTCAAGCGTACCACCCTCATGCCCTCCCACAGGTAGTCTGGGGGGACCTGGCAACGCTCCCATGATACCCTGATTGGAAGAAGCCATAGAATTGGTTCCTCCTTCTCAGAAATTCTGCAGCCTTTCCCCCCATTATTTCACTATTCCAAAAGAAGAAGGCATGAGGCCCATTTTAGATCTCAGATTAGTCGACACTTTGATAATTGCAAAAAAACCTTCTTTATAATTTAATTTTTAAGTATTTTCCCACTCCTATCCGAAGTGATATTTTTAAATCTCAATAGACTGCACAGATGCATACATCCACAGTATAGAAGGTTCCCAAGATTTGCCTTGGGGGACAGACAACTCCATTACAGAGGCTTTTTGTTTGGGTTGTCAGCAGTACCCAGAAGTCTTTACCAAATGTATGGTGGTGGTAACAGCTTATCTCTGTAAGAGAGGCATCTCAGTGTACCTTACCTAGATGACGGGTTGCTAGTTCATATGTCTCCAGTTACACTCCTACATCAGCTGCAAATAACCTTCAGGCTCCTTGCTCAACACAGCGAATTTGAAAAGTTCCTGTTCCACCTCAGCATTTGCAGGTTATAGGAGTAGTCCTTGCCTCCAACATGGGACAGAGCATCAATTATCACATTCCGGGTAAAGGAGTCTCTGCAGACTACACATCCAGCAGCTTTTGGAGTCCAGGGACTTTTTGAACTTAAGGCAGGGGTGTCAAACAGGTTCCATATGTTCCAGTTCAACACGTCTCCCTTTCTCCCCTCCCACCTCACTGGCTGCCTTTCTTCACTCCAC